TGGGAGCAGCCACTGCACTCCAGTCTGGGCCATGGAGTGAGACTCCAACTCAAAAATATATATATATATTTCTAGTGAAAGCCAGTCATGGCCCTGTGATTTAGACCAAGGGGTCTCAGGCACCTGTCATCTTCATTTCTATCTTTTTTTTTTTTTTTGAGTCAGAGTCTCACTCTGTCGCCCAGGCTGGAGTACAGTAGCATACTCACGGCCACTGCAGCCTTGACCTGCTGGGCTCAGGCCATCCTTCTGGGCTCAGGGGATCCTTCCACCTCAACCTTCCAAGAAGCTGGAACTACAGGAGCATGCCACCACGCCCAGCTAATTTTTTTTCTTTCTTTCTTTCTTTTTTTTTTTTTTTTTGATTTATTGTAGAGATGAGGTCTTACTAAATTGCCCAGACTGGTCTCAAACCCATGGGCTCAGGCAATCCTCTGGCCTCTGCTTCCCAAAGTGTTGGGATTACAGGTGTAAGCCACTGTGCCCAGTTGTCAGGTTAATTTTTTTTAGAAAGCAGGATTTACTGAGAGGACAGAAAAGCTCCCACAGTGGGAGGGGACCCAAAGGGGTTACCCTGTCAGCTTACTTTATAAAGGAAACCCTTAGATCTGTTCCTGGAGACTCCTTCGTGTGTGTGTGTGTGTGTAAGAGAGACAGAGACAGAGAGACAGAGAGAGAGAGAGAGAGAGAGAGAGAATTTTGAATTCTGTGTACAAAGCCTCCATCTAAATACTGAATTCTGTGTACAAGCCTCCATCTTGGATTTATTACCCCCATTTCTCCTTTGTCTTATTTTTTTTAAATCTCCTTTTCTTTTCTTTTTTCTTTCTGAGTTGGTTTCTCACCCTGTCACCCAGGCTGCAGTGCTGTGGCACACTCATGGCCACCACAGCCTCCACCTTCTTGGCTCAGGGGATCCTTCTTGGCTCAGGGGATCCTTCCACCTCGGTCTTCCAAGTAGCTGGAACTAGAAGCACGCACCAGCATGCCCAGTTAATATTTTGATTTCTTGTAGAGATGAAGTCTTACCAAGTTGCCCAGGCTGGTCTTGAAACTGTGAGCTCAGGCAATCCTCTCACCTCAGCCTTCCAAAGTGCTAGGATTATAGGCGTGAGCCACCATGCCTGGCTCCCTTGTCTTTTCATTTAATTTCATCAGGAATGTCTCATTCCTAGAAGAAGATAGGAAACTAGACACCAAATAAGATTTTTAAATGAAAGGTGGCAAGGATTAGCGCCAGTGGCTCAATGCCTGAAATCCCAGCACTTTAGGAGGCCGAGGTGGGAGGATCTCTGGAGGCCAGGAGTTCGAGACCAACCTGGGTAACATAGCAAGACACAGCCTCCACAAAAAATAAAAGCAAAATTAGTCAGTCATGGTGGCGTGTGCCTGTGGCCCCAGCTACTCAGGAGTTGCCTAAGCCCAGGAGTTCAAGGCTGCAGAGAGCTGCGATCATACCACTGCACTTCAGCCTGGGTGACAGAGCAGGATTTTATCTCTAAATAAATAAATAAATAGAATTTAGGCCAGGCGTGGTGGTTCAAGCCCATAATCCCAGCACTTTGGGAGATCGAGTCAGAGGATTGCCTGAGCCTAGAGGTTCTAGACCAGCCCGGGCAACTTGGTGAGACCTTGTCTCTAAAAAAAAAAAAAAAAATTAGCTGGATGTGGTAGCATGTGTTACAAGTTCCAGCTACTTGGAAGGCTGAGGTGGAAGGATTGCTGGAGCCCAGTAGGTAGAGGCTGTGGTGGTCTTGAGCGTCCCACTGCACTCCAGCCTGGGCGACAAGAGTGAGACTCCAACTCAAGTAAATAAATAAACAAACAAATAAACAAATAGAATTTTAGAAAAGGAAGGTGGATAATGTATAATATTTCTGAGGGTTGATGATAGGTTCAAGGAGATGAAATGTGCTTACGTATCTATACAAGGGCTAGAACGTCCTAGTAAGTGTTGTATTTATTTTTTATTTTTTGAGTTGGAATCTCATTCTACCACCCAGGCTGGAGGGGAGTGGCATGCTCCCGGCCACCGCATCCTCAACCTGCTGGGCTCAGGCGATCCTTCCGCCTCAGCCTTCCAAGTAGCTGGAGCTACAGGCACATGCCACCATGCCCAGCTAATTTTTTGAAATTTATTATAGAGATGAGGTCTTGCCAAGTTGCCCAACCTGGTCTTGAACCTGTAGGTTCAGGCAGTCCTCTCACCTTAGCCTCCCAAAGTGCTGGGATTATAGGCATGAGCCACTGCGCCCGACTCAAGTGTTGCATTTTTTTAAAATTAACATGTTACCCTCTCAGCCAAGGTCACCCTGGTCATTCTACTCATGGCCATTGCCTGTCCAGCCCTCCCAAGCCCTTATCCTACTGGACTTTTTCTTCCTGTCAGTTTTTTCACAGCACTCATGGCTTTTTGACCTACTACAGAAGGGCTCTCCCCCTCGGCACTGTGGGTGTTCGGGGCTGGGTTGTTCTTTGCTGCAGTGGCTTCCTGTGCATTGCAGGGTTTTGAGCAGCATCTCTGGCCTCCACCCACTAAATGCCAGTAGCAACACACACACACACACACACACACACACACACACACACACACACACACAAACCCCAAGTTGTGACAATTCAAAATGTTTCCAGATAGGGGCAAATGTCCCCTTGGTAGGCATAATTGCCCCTGGCTGAGAACCACTGTGACATGCAACTTACTTGTTTTATTTTGTTTATTATTTAATGTCGCTCCGCCCCACCCCCTACCAGAACATTAGTGCCAAGAAGGGAAGGATGTGCTTATTTCGTTCTCTGATGTAGCCCCAGTTCCCGGATACATGTCTGGTGCAAGGTAGGTGTTCCATGTTTGTTGAGAAAAATGCAGGAACATTGGGGTTTGGGATGTGCCCGAGATGGTGTGTTTAGACATGCATGACCTCATCTCTTCATCACAGTGTCCCTGTGAGGGAGACCCTATTACTGCCCCTTTTTCACTGAGGAGGAAGCAGGCTTCTAGAAGCAACACGATTCATGTCCCTCCACCCATCCACCCAGTGGGAGAGCCCAGCATCTCAACCCACCGCCTCCCCGGCAAACCCATTTACTCCCTTTTGGCCCAGAGGGACTGAACTAAGATTGGGGTTGGCCTCGGCCTCTGGCAGGCACCTGCAGGGGAGTGAAGAAGGGAACTGAACTGGCCAGGAGACCATGCCTGGGGGGCTTTCTCAAGAGCCAGCAGGGTCAGAATTGGGAGGCACCTGCAGGGCAGTGGAGAAGGGATCTGAAAGAGCTGGGCACACCTGGGGCTTTCTCAGGAGGCAGGGACCTGGCCGGGATCAATGTGTCCCTCTCTCAAGAAACCCCAGTCCCAGGACCATAAGAGATAGGACCAAGCTCCAAGGAGAAACCCCAGCCTGGGGATGTGGCTGAGGCAAGAACTGTCCCTCACTTCCATCTCAGCCCAGAAAGGGCCCAGACATGTGATTGGCCAAGGACTCCTGGTTACCAGGAACTGCGATCAGGGAAGAGGGGCAGGAAGGAAGAGAGAGTGGAGAGGGCAGAAGGAGTGGGAGTGAGGAGTGAGAGGAATTCATAATCTCCGCTCACGCTGGTTGCCTGCACCACCATGGACACCACCACCAAGTACAGCAAGTGGGACAGCAGGCCAGAGGAGGTCCCCAGAGGTATGAGAAATGGGTCCCTCCCTGCCCCAATATCTGGGGTTTGATGGGGAGGTGGGGGGAAGGAAAGAGCCAAGAGTGGTCCAGGTAGTGGGTGCAGGAAAAACACCACAGGCCACAGAGCCAGTTGGATCCAAATTCCAACTCTGCCACTTAGAGGCTGTGTGACCATAGAGGAGTTACTTAATGTCTCTGAGCCTCAGTTTCGTGGGAGGAACCCAAGCCCCCAGGGCTCAGTCCTGGCGGACCCAGCAGTCCATCCGTGTTCTATTAGGGCCCTGGGGATGCTGGGAGTATGGGAGCCGGAGACCCCTCTTCCTGGCCCTGGCTTTCCTGGTCGCCACAGTCCTGTGGGCTGTCATCCTGAGCATCTTGGTGTCCAAGGGTGAGTGAGTGACGCCCTCAATGGCGAGGGGTCTGCCCAGCCACTCTGGGGACACCAACCTCCCCCCTCCACGGTGCACCAGCTGGGTTCTGGGCCTCTGCTTGGGTCTGGGTGTGAGCACGTGGGAACAGAGCGTGTGCACCTCTTCAGGCCATGTGCTCACAGGCGTGTGTACAAGCGAGCACACGTATGTGCGTGCATGCCCCCACGTGTCTGTCTCCCATCAGCGTGTGTGCACATCGTGTGCGCTGTACGTCCTCTGCGGTCCCAAGACCCGGGACCCCGCACCCCCGGGCGAGGGGAGGGCTCCCGAGTCCCGGCCGCGCCTGCAGAAGCCTCTCTCCGCAGCTTCCACGGAGAGCGGGGCGCTCCGGGGCAGCCAGGACCTTCTGAGGAGGAACGGTGCGTGCGGGCGGGGTGCCGGGGCCCCGGGAGACAGGGCGGTGGGTGGTGGGCGGGGACTCCACGGATCCCCGGGCTGGCCCTGGAGCGGGGAAGGATGTCTGAGCCGCCCAGGTGAACCGTCGGGTCTTTCCAGCCTCGAAGCAGACGACGGTGCTGGGTGCCTTGAAGGAGGAGATCGGAGCCTGTCACAACTGCTGTGAGAGGGAGCGCAGGCTAGGCTCTTGGGAAGAGGGCGCGGGTGCGAGGGTTGTGGCCGGGATGGGAGGGGGACCTGGGGCGGGACTTGTGGCTGGGTTGGAGGAGGATCTGGGGGCGGGGCTCGTGGCTGGTTGGAGGAGGGCCTGGGGCGGGGCTTGTGGCTGGTTGGAGGAGGGCCTGGGGCGGGGCTTGTGGCTGGGTTGGAGGAGGACCTGGGGCGGGGCTTGTGGCTGGGTTGGAGGAGGACCTGGGGCGGGGCTCGTGGCTGGGTTGGGGGAGGATCTGGGGCGGGGCTCGTGGCTGGGTTGGAGGAGGACCTGGGGCGGGGCTTGTGGCTGGGTTGGAGGAGGACCTGGGGCGGGGCTCGTGGCTGGGTTGGAGGAGGATCTGGAGGCGGGGCTCGTGGCTGGGTTGGAGGAGGACCTGGGGGCAGGCTTGGGCAGGTGAAGCCGAGTGGACTGGTCTCAGAGGCCCTGTCCATCCTGGCCTCCCACACCCCTTCCGTCCCTCACTCCCCCAGGCTCAGGGGCGCACGTGGAGCTGCAAACCATGAGTGCAGAGCTCGGGAAAGCGCAGGCGAAGCTAATGGAGCAAGAAAGTGCCCTAAAGGACCTGAGTGAACAGGGTGAGGGCCCAGTGTGACCACGACCCCTGAGCCCTGGCCACCACCGGGACTCCGAACCTATCTTGTCTCTTGATTCCGATCGTGGCCCCCATCCTGACCTTGCCCACTGGACGCTGACCTTGACTACCACTCTTAACCCCAGCCACACCTGGACGCTGCCCAATTATAACAGTCTTGACCCTGGCACCGATGGTGCACCGACCACAGACAGCTATCCTGACCTCGACCTACTCATGACCCTGCTCCTGACCCTGACCCCAGCTATAATCTCAACTCCCTTGGCCCGCAGTGACCCAGGGCTTGGCTAAAGCGGGAAGGGATCGTGAAGATGTTCGCAGCGAGCTGTTCCGGGTGCTGGGGACCATCAGATTCCAGAACAGTGAGCGAGACGGGGAAGGGCGGGGGAGCTCAGGCGAGGGTGTAAGTAGACCCTGCTTGTGGGTCCCTGATTCACTCGGCCCCGCCCCTTGACCTTGGTCCTGTGACTCCGCCCCTGGGACCCCGAGGCCCGACCCACTCCATCCTCTCATTGCGCTGCCCCCGGGAGCTGTCCAGCTCTCTGACCCTCGACACTCCCAGGCTCCTGCGAGCCGTGCCCCGCATCGTGGCTGCCTTTCGAGGGCTCCTGCTACTACTTCTCTGAGAACAAGGCCTCATGGGTGGCCGCGCAGACCCACTGCGCGGGCGCCAGTGCACACCTGGTGATCGTCGGCGGCCTGGAGGAGCAGGTGCGCAGGGGGCGGGGCGTTCCCCTGAGTGGGCGTGGCTCCGGTGGTCGGGCGGGGTGGACTCTGCCCGCTCAGGTTTCCCCTCCTTTCTAGAACTTCCTGACTCGGAATACTGCTGGCCGCGGTTACTGGATGGGTCTGAGGGCTGTGCGACATCTTGGCAAGGTTCAGAGCTACCAGTGGGTGGACGGAGTCGCCCTCAGCTTCAGGTTTGGGAAGGGCTCCTGGTGAGACTTGGGGAAGGGACGGGTCAAAGGGGACAGGGAAGTGATTTGGCCAAGTCTCAGGGACTCTATTCTTAGGGTTGGGCATTCTAGACCTCAGGAACTGCCCAGGGTTAAATTCTGGGCGTTAGAAACATATCCCAGGTGCGTGTTCAAGCTAGACATTCAGGGTGTCCAGGGTAGACCCGAGCACTAAACGGGCAAGAGCCTGGGCAGAAGGTGGGACCCAGCTCCATCCCGGCAACAACCCCACTCAACCACTGCAGCCACTGGAACCAGGGGGAGCCCAATGACTCTCGAGGGCGTGAGAACTGTGTCATGTTGCTGCACACGGGGCTGTGGAACGACGCACCGTGTGACAACGAAAGGGACAACTGGATCTGTGAGAAGAGGCACAGCTGCTGACTTTGCCCAGTGTCCCAGAGCCATGCCCGCTGCAGCAAATCTTATTCAGAGTGGTGCTTACCATGCTGGCACCTGGCACTGGCTGTCAAATATATATATATATATATATTTCCCAATTCACCACGCCCGAGAACTGCCCTGCCCGACCCAGCTCTGTCTCTGGGACCTCCACCCCAAACTCACCACAACATCACTCATGAAGTCCCCAAGTCCCTGCTGCTGGATTCCCATGATCTGACTCCACCCTTCTCCCTGACCAAGGTCAGGCTGTTGAGAGGGTGGAGCAGTTTGATTATCCTGAATTTTCTTATAGAGTGGGAGTGCCTTGGCAGCCTAAGGCTTGAGCATTAATAAACATTTCAGAAATGAATCTGGTTCTAGTGAGCTTTTCTAAGCTTTATCCAAGACACCCTGGTGTGGTCCCTGTGAGTGATCTGATCTCTCCAAGAGGAACATTATAGCCCTATGATACCCCCAAACCCAGTGGGTAACCCACTCTGGGCTGGGAAGACTTGAAGATAGAGCAGCCTCCCACTCTGCACTGCTACTTCCTCAGAGGATGCTGGGGACACAGGTCCAACTGGACACAGGAAGAATGTGATCCGTGATTTAATGGAGGATTGCAAGGAGAGGACACCTGATGCGTTTGCAGAGCGAGGGGCTATCTTTGTCCTTCAGGAGACGGACTGTATTGAGGGACTGTAGTGGTGGTCTCATCCTTGAGAAGAATGACACTCCACTGTGGAGATTACAGGCCACCTGAGACAAGGCTTTGAGGCAATTTGGGGATGGGCTGCTCTGATCGGATAAGCCGGTCCTTCCGTCCTGGATTCCTAGGGCCTGTGACCATTGGGAGGGGCAGTCAGGAAATACAGACCAGAAAGAGTGGACTTCTAGGCCGGGAGCAGTGGCTCATGCCTGTAATCCCAGCATTTTGGGAGGCCAAGGCGAGAGGATTGCCTGAGTCCAGGGGTTCGAGACCATCCTGGGCAACTTGGTGAGACCTCGTCTCTACAATAAAAAAGTAATAATAATAATTAGCCAGGCGCGGTAACTTGCGCCTATAGTTCCAGCAGGATTACAAGGGTCCTTATGAGAGAAGGCAGGAAGGTCAGAGTCTGAGAGTTTCAGCAGAAGCAGAGGTGGGAATGATGCTCTTTGATGAAGGAAGCAGAAGTCAAGGAACTTTTTTTTTTTTTGAGTCAGTCTCACTCTGTCGCCCAGGCTGGAGTGCAGTGGCATGCTCACAGCCACTGCAGCCTCGATCTGCTAGGC